GACTCGATATGTGCTGGACAGTGGCTTCTCCCCTTGTAAAAGTTATTTTTCTGTGGAGTGTTATTGTTTATTATTTTTTTGTTTCTATCCAAACGCACCGTTGATCTTGCTGTTCGTCACCGAAGACAAATTCCTTGTATATATTTTATATTTGGTCATTAAAGTATTTTGCATTTGTATTTGTATTGTATTTTGTATATTGAAAAGGCAGCTGCCAGAGTTTTAACAGGTGTCTGAAGTTCCATCTGCGTTTGTTGGGCTTAGCTGTTTTGCTGACAGAGTATGTATCGGAGACAGTTGGAACAATCTCTCTACTTGTAATTTCTAATAATACTCTGTTGTGCCCAAGAGTTATTCTTTCTTGTAAGTAGAAATTGGTTGGCAGAGCCCTCGATGCCACACTGTCCCTTTTCAAATACACACTGTATTGTTTCTAGAAACAGAATGGCTACATTGGACATCATATTGAACTATAATGTAGCAATATGTGAATGTGCCCAGATCCCCTGTGGGTTTACACACTTTCTGATCCACAGCCAATGCAGTTGTAAACATTTCCAAATTTTTCTGTGTTTCTGCTTTTCATCAAATATGGATGAAACAGGAACTACAATTACTCTTCAAATTATAAACCATGGATTAAAGTGGCATATTTGAAATTATCCATAGTAAAGATTTGAAACTCTTCCAGGTTCAGACAATAGGGTAAATGTAATTCATTAGAAGCTGAGATGAAAGCTTTCATACTCCTTATAGCTGTGGGATGGAGGAATTGTGATCCTGCATGGAGGCCACAGTTGTTTAGGTCTCACTAAACCATAGATTAGTGGTGATCCCAAATGCAGCCATAGCTGTCCCACATACTATAAAAAGAAATCGTGCAGTTAATTTTACCGCTTCATTTAAAAAAAAAATCTTACATTTTTAATAAACTAAACATTAGACATCACTAAATACATCAGTGTTGTAACAACATTTTACCAACTCATATGGGACTGAAAATCTGAAAACAAAATCTGGAGAAATCATGTCAAATATCAAAACAGGAAATTTCAATATTCTAAATTCTGAATTGTAATATGAAAGTGTTTTAGCTGTGCTCTGATAAATTAACTGGTATACACAAATCTTCTTCAACTTCAAGGATGAAGTCAGTGCCCAAGCATCCCCGGATAATTTGGATAGAAAAGAAGGATCAGAATCTATTGAAACCTCATCAGAAAGATTTATTGATCAGAAGAAACATCCTTCTTCTGAGAAATCACTGCCATGTGGACTTCTGAAAAACCAAGATGAGATTGAAAGAAAGAATTTGGATACTCTTGAAAGGTAAAACAGTTTTCAATAAATAAATGAAAAGTTTCTTGAGATCCTAGTGTAATCTTTGTTTTCTATATAATATGGCATAAAACTTTCATTAATTTTCAATACCAACTTACTCCTGCTTTTCCTTGTCTGTCTTTTTGGAATCAACTGGATGAACTTGACTGGTTCTGTTTTTTGAAAGAAAGTATGATTTAGACAACAAATAGCTGCAAATATGTTTTCAGTTTCAAAACTGGTATGACCTCAATAGTTTTTGTTACTTTTGTTTTTTGATTAGTGATACTTTTGACCCTCAAGAAATAAATCAGTCAGAAAGCATAAAACCAGCCCACCTCATGATAGGTCATCTGTGGAAGCTAAAGCCAAATGTGGCTCAAGTTCCTAAAAACACAGAAGTCTCCTTAGAAAGAGAAAATAGCACAGAAGGAGAGACAGGAAGAGATGCAGAATGTGATATAACCTCGCATGGGAGCAAATCTGGAAAAATAGCTCAGTTAATGGTAAGCATTCATTAATCATCCTAAATCACCACTTGATTAATGGTTTTATAAGTACTAGATTTGCAGATACAAGATACTTGCTGAACCTCTTTTATCTCCTTACGAACTATCTAGAGTAGCTTATGAGCAGATTTTATACAAGAAATATTATAAAAAATGTATTTAAATACTATAGTATGAATATGTGCATGGGGGTATATTTAAATAAAATATATACTGGACTATACTGATTTTCTGGTGCTGGTGGAAAGCACTTCTCTTTTTCTGATTTCCTTTTCCCTCTTCCATGTATACAGATGCAGCCTTTCTTGCTGCAATTGGTTTTCAAGGGCTGGAAAGTTGCAGAGGAAAGCAGGAGAAGGAAATATGTTTTGCAACACAGCCCACCCAAAGGTTCAGTGCCCTTAAGAATGGTCCTTTTAATTTTAATTAAAAAGTGTTAAATTTGATGTTTCATTTGGCCTAAGATCTTTCCTCAGAATATCCTTTGCCGTATTTTCTCTCCATATTTATTTGTCTACAGCTCTTGTTTAAAGGTAAGATAAGGAGTGGGCTCCTTAAAAATATTTGGAAAAGTAAATATATATTGAACTCATGGTTGTTCACAAGGGAGGTCAATAATGAGGACATGCATGAGGACATCCCACAAATGACATGACTTACGTATTTATCTCTGATGTCAAGACATCATGGCATAATTATGTCATTTCTGCAATGACATCATGACAAACATGCCACATTTTGACAGCATGATGCCACTGATTAATTTGGCATGTGTTTCTACTCTTTCCAGGGCAGCTCTGTACAGTTGATGGAATCTGCATCATCTTCTGAATCAAGGAAAGAAAAAAAATGTACAGAAAACATTGAATTAGTATCCCCAACAAGAAGTAGGCACTCTGGGAAATATGGTTCGTCAGACCAGCCTTCAGAGAATGAAACTCAAATTAAAAAAGAAATCCCTAAGCTGCTTTCTGTCCAGGAGAGAGAAGAGGAAAACTTAAAAGGGTAAAAGTGTACCTTGAGTAGTGTCATGTCCTATGTTGGGAAGAGAGAGCTCTACCGTATTCAGAATCAGATTCTAAGGAGGGTTTCATATAGTCAGAAAGACTGTAAGAAGAGCAGTAGAAAATTCAAACCAAGTCCTATGAAAGCTCAAAGAGAGCAAAAGTCAAGGACCAGATAATAAGGACACATACATCAGTGGAGTCAGGTTTCACAGCACAAAGGCAAACAGACATTGCTTTCAAGCACAAATACCTCTCTGAGTTTTATACTGGAGTTATAATTAATCTGCTCTTACTCAGCTGGTGCTTATCAAACCTGATCTGGCTGCAAAGCAGTCCAGGTATATTAACAACTTAACTCAGCAATTACTCATTGTGGTTATTCATCAAACTCTTGCTTACAAACAAACACCTGGATATATCTCAACCTTAAGAACATAAGAATAGCTGTGCTGGATCAAAAGTCCATCTTAGTCCAGCACTAGTATCTGGATTTATTTTTATTTACATATTTATTTAATTCAATTTTGGTGCCATCTGACTCCAGAATAACTGGATGCTTCTGTTCAGGTGACTCTGGATGTTTCTGTGGTGCTTGTAAAATGAAGATGGAGACATACTTTTCTCCTGCCATTGTTTCTCTGCAACTGGTGTCTGTAAGCATGTTGCCCCCAACCCAAACATGATATTGAAATTTCAAGATCAATAGCACTTGATACCCCCATCCTCCATAAGTGTGTCAAATTATTTTTTAAAGTCACCCAAATTAGTGGCCATCACCACTATTTGTGGTAATAAATGCCATAGGTTAATTATATAATGCATGAGAAGTATTTTCAGTTGTCTGTTCTAAATATTCTTCTCTTTATCCATTTCCTCTGGGCCAGATATTTTTTATATATTTTTATCATATCCCCCATCCCTTCAGTCACTTTTCCTTTGAGCTAAGCAGTTCCAGATGTTCTAGCTTTTTTTCAGAAAGTTGGTGCTTGAACCCCCCAAATGTTTTGGTTACTCTCTTCTGCACTTTTTTCCAGCTCTATCGCATTGCTTTTCAGATGTGGCCAGAACTGTACACCAGTTCCAGTTTTTGGGGTAACATACAGTTTTTTAAGGACATATTATGTTAGCAGTTTCTTAATAATTCTTATGCCTTTTTCAGAGTGGCTACTCATTGAGTCAACATCTTCATGTAGCTCACCGTAGGGACTGCACAGTGTTTTTCACAGTTGGATTCAGAGAGCTCAGACCCATCAAAGTATATGTGAAGTTGGGGGGTTTTGCCCCAGTGTGCATCACTCACACCTTCTGATATTTAACCTGGTGCCTGTGCCATTGTTCATGTCAATTGGGTGGCTGCATTTGTCAGTCTAGACCAGAGTGATCTCGGTAGGCAGCCCAGGCTAGTGAGAATTCATTTTGTCACAGGCCCTGTTTCAGACTTACTCAGCTGGTGCATAAGACTTAGTAAAATGATTTTAGAGTCGTCTTCTTCTTAGAGGGGGCTATGACCTGCAATGTTTCTTTTAATTTTGAAATATCAGAATATAAATGTATTTATACATAAGAATTCTTAAAAATCTATTTTAGTAACTCAAATACCTAAAAGAAAACTTAGATGCTTATAAATTATCTTGTGTTTTTGATCTTTTAAAAAGATATTTTATAACTAATTGCTTTTGTTCCTTTTTTCAGTTAGTTCTACTAATCAAAATATCTCCTTTATGATCTAGAAAGCAACCAGGAAAAACACTGAAGCAGAGAAACCAAAATTATGATTCAAAGACATCTTCCACTTCTGAATGTGAAAATGACCATTGTAGAAAAATGAAACACCATCAAAAAGTTAAACCATATGTCAGCAGAGGCAGAAATTTAAAACCAGCCCCTCGCAAAAAATCAAGGAATGGAAGTTCTAAAGTTAATCTGGTAACCCTTAGAGCTTCTTCACAAGAGGAGGAGGAGGAGGAGGAGGATGAACCTGAATCAGAATATGAAGTTGAAAGTTTTTTACCAGAAGAAGTAAACAAAGCTCCAGTGTTTGTTCCTAAGGGGCTTCGATCTCCAAATCCTGTTCCTATGCACATTGAGGAAACAATGGAAGAGGTATATCAGAAATACCAACCAAAATATGTTCAATTAATGCATCTCATTAGGTCATGGGTTCTCAACCTTTTTGTGCCATGGACTCCTTTTAGAGTCTGGGGAAACCTAGAAGCCCTTTCTCAGATAAATTTTAGTTCGAGGTTAGTAGGAAAAAAGTTGGATTTTTTTTCGCATACAAATTCACAAGCCCCCTGAGATTTCTCCACAGAGCCCCAAAGTTAGATATATCCATTATTAAAGCTACCCATGGCTACAGCTATCCTTGTTAAGAATCCTTGTATTAGGTATACCTAAATGTTGCTCATTATTTTCTGATCTAAAACAATAAATAATAAGTTCCAGACAAGTGGTTAAGGCACCAGGCTAGAATCCAGGAGACTGTGAGTTCTAGTCCCGCCTTAGGCATGAAAGCCGGCTGGGTGACTTTGGGCCAGTTGCTCTCTCTCAGCCCGACTCTTCTCATAGGGTTGTTGTTGTGGGGAAAATAGGAGGAGAAAGGAGTATTAGGTATGTATGCCACCTTGAGTTATTTATAAAAATAATAAAGGTGGGATAAAAAAATCTAAAAAAAAATCTAACTTTGAATATACAGTAGGAGAAGAGAAGAGAAGAGAGTTTAACTGAAAAAACAGTTGTTAAATCTCTGTGATAGGAGAAAAATAGTTACAAGATAAGCTGATGTTTGTAATCAATTAAGAGATTAGACTGAAGACTCATTCTGTGATCTGAACTTTCATCCACATAATCAAAATATTCCAACTATTTTATAGTACTTTCTGAAGATGATTCTCCTTTTTTTAAATATTGTATTCCTCTACAGTGTAATAATGAAAAGAGTTATACCAATGATCCCTTTCAAAACAAGGTTATTAGAACTACTTAAGGTACATAAAAGATTTGTAAATGTTTCTATGAAGACTAGTGGTTTGTTCATTACCACTAGAACATTAGTAATTGCTTTATGCACTTATTTTCCCAGTTCATTGTTAGTGTTGTCATGCAGGCATACAAGAATGTTAAAAATGCCTTTTAGGTAGAGTGTTCATTTTTATATACTCAGGCACAGACATATGCCTTTTCTAACTGGAATCATGGAACAATATGTAGAGGCAAGGCAATGCCCCAAATGGTAAATTTGTGATACTCCAGAATTCCAGTGTAAGTAAAAACAATAATTAAGACATAGCAGACCTTAGAAACATCTTTGTATGAACTCTCCACATATACACTTTGCCTTTAGAGGGAGCGAACAAATCAGATACAGAATGGAGGAGAGTTAATGAATAGAACTGAAATTTCCCCAAATAAAGGGAGTGATGCACAAAGGAACATCACACTTTTGAAGAATTGCCCTTCTCTCCCAGACTATTTTGGTTAAACAAATTATCTCGTTTTAGAACATAGGTGAAAAAAAGGTAGATAAAATATATGCAAATGACTAGAGGATGATGGTGTTTGTTGCCCTGTAAAACTATTATAATAAAACTTGCCAATGTGTTTTAACTAATTTATGTGGAAGCAGCCTTAATGTGAATAATTAAGCTTAGAAATGTAATTTCTAGCAGAAATGTATTTGAGTAAACTTGGATTTTATATTTTATGTTTTGCACTTATCTTTTTTGAATGTATAACATTATAGCATATAAAAGAGAATCAACTAGATTCTTTTTGGACAATTAAAATAATGGTTGTTTTTTCTACCTTGCTGTCCATGACAGTTGGAGATATATGAGAATATTGCAGATGAACCATGTATCTCCCATGATCTAAACCTATCTATTCAGCCTGTGATACAAGATGATAGCAAGTTGTATTTCTCACCAGTTGTAAGTATGCAATTTTTTTTTTATACAAAATGTAAATTTGTCTAAGGCAGAATGAGCATTACTGGTAGTCCTTGCTTACCAACCACTCATTCAGCAACTATTTGAAGTTGTGATGGCACTGAATGAGTGGTACTAATGACTGGTCCTTGAAGTTCCAGCTGTTGCAGTGCCCTCACAATAATGCAATCATGATTCGGGCACTTGGCAGTTGGCTTGCATTTATGATGGTTGCAGCATCCCACGGTCATATGTTGCCATTTGCAACCTTCCTTGCCAGCTTCCCACAAGCAAAGTCAAATCCCCTAGCTTTCCTGTGTATGTGCTGTGCTGCACCATCCATCACTCACACCACAGTACATCCTCCCCGGCTTCCCCCAACTCACACATAGCCTGTGCTGGGCCCCCAAGGGCCTTCTCCCGCCCTCCCCAATCCCCCCTCGGTACCTCCTCATCCCCCCATGTCATCCCCGTGCTCCTTACTTGGGGCTTCCACTGCTTCCTGCTTAACAGCCCACACATCTTGGGGTTACAGTGGCAACTGGTCCCAATTGCCATCCATAACCCAAGGACTACCTGTAGAAGAGCTGATCCAGTGAGAACTTTGTAAGCAAGTTGTCTACTTTCCTGCTTAACTTTCCATCTTGCAGTTGCTGCTGGCATTTACTTACCATTATTGATCAGCTGAGCTCTTAATTACACAGAAAGTAGAACCTCTATTCATCTTCCCAACATTAGTTAAACAGTGGTACTCAAAAGAAAACAGGAGATGGTGGTCAACTACTAGTTTGTTAGAGAGGTGATAAAGTTGTGTTGGATTCATTCAAAGTCCCCTATTCCAGGTAGGCCTTGGTTTGGCCCTGGTGTTATTCTCTGTAAAGAAATTATTGATGGTGAAAGGATGAGATTTTATTAGCCTTACTTCTTATCAGTGTATTATGATAGTTTGCTATTGAGCTCCAAATGTGTATATCTGTTTAATCCAATCATTAATGCCTGAATATTAGGCAAAGTGGTAAAACTATTTATAAAACAGTGGGTTTAATTGTAAAATTGTTTTAATGTAATATTTTGGTGTTATAGCAACTCTGGTGGAGCTGACATAAAGATATCCAGGGTTAAAATTAAATCTTCTTTATTGTCAACTACAACTGATCTTTTTATATGTGAAATAGTAAGAGTTTTATTGGTGATGGTACTGATCACTTATAGAGATTGTTGTTGAGTAATCTTCATTAAATAGTATTGAATACAAAGTTGTTATCAATACTGGGAAGGATGTAATTGAATTTATGGTGAAGTAACTGAGTCCATTTTCACTATTTATATTCTTTATTTGACAGTAATACCACAAAATCTTTGAGGGAGTAGAGGGTTTGTTTCTGAGTTAAAAGGACACTGTTTTCAGTATAAAGATTTAAGATTATTTCCATTCATGCTGAGTGAAAAATCAAAGTTGGTTCATCAAATTTATTTTAAAATGTAATCCAGAAATGTAGTAGTTGATTTCCTTTTTTTTCCTCCCAAAGGATATTACACAAGAAGAACAAAAAAAGGAAACAGGTAAATAGTCCAGATTATTGAAAGTGAACAACTGAATGCAGATCTGTTAAATTAAAAGTGTAGCTTTTAGTTACATGCTCTGTGTGTGTGTGTGTGTGTGTGTGTGTGTAGCGAGAGAGAGAGGGAGTTCCTAAATCCTTCATTCAATAAATCAAGTGTTAATCACTAAGTGATTGTAATTCTATACATACTTATCTGGGAGTGAACTCCATTGAAAATACAATATTATTTTCAATAATGTAATGTAAAAAATGTGATTAGTTTGTTGGTTTGTAAGCTTATTTATTTGGAAACTTATTTTAGGAATTAATGATGGAAGTACTGAAGCAGCCATGACTTTGCTTGCTATGAGGGATCCAGTGTTTCAATTACGTATTGATACCCAAGGTATGGTCAGTATTATCATATAAGACAGGAGTGGATAGCCTATAGCCCATGCCTTTTTTTTTCAGTTCCCAGAGCCCAGTCTGATCTTATTATTACATTACAGCACATAGTTTCTTGCTCTTTTGAGACTGGAAACACAAAACAATTCTGCAAGGCCTAAATTATTAGTACTGTTTAAAAGCTGGAAGAACAACAGATCCTTTCCCCACTCAAATTTTTATCATAGCCCTTCTATTGCAGTTCTACCTCGTCCTCCCTGAAAACAAATACAAATATCACTAAGTCCTTAGCCACCAAAAATTTGCTGTCTTGATATAAGTGTCAGTGAACTTGTTCAGTGTGGTTCACAGGGTTGTTGTTATGAGGAAAATAGGAGGCAGGAGTATTAAGTATGTTTGCCACTTTGAGTTATATATAAAAAGGTGGCATAAAAAGATCATCATCATCATCAAAATAGGGTTGAATTATTTTTGTTGTATTAAGTCTGTGCAGATTCAGTATGTTATGCCTCCTTGTTCTGTTCCTCTTGTTTAGTTATATATAAAAAGGTGGCATAAAAAGATCATCATCATCATCAAAATAGGGTTGAATTATTTTTGTTGTATTAAGTCTGTGCAGATTCAGTATGTTATGCCTCCTTGTTCTGTTCCTCTTGTTTAGTTATATATAAAAAGGTGGCATAAAAAGATCATCATCATCATCAAAATAGGGTTGAATTATTTTTGTTGTATTAAGTCTGTGCAGATTCAGTATGTTATGCCTCCTTGTTCTGTTCCTCTTGTTTCTGCCTGCTGCTGTGCGAGCAGAACTATGCTTTTGAAAAGCCAAATAGCATTTTGATGTTTGATGTAGCATTTGATTTCCTTTAAATACATACATTAAATATATTTTTCAACTTTTTCTACGGACAAAGAAAAAATACAAGAATGTCTCAGTAAAGATGAACTGAATCTACCTGCTAGCTTTTTGAGTCAAGGAAATGAAGTACATACTAAAGCCCCTTCAGCAAATGAACTGATTCCTTTAAATAATACGAATAACACAACTCCAGAAGGTAACAACAATAAACCATCAGATTTCAAAGACTGCTTGGAAGAAAAAACAGTTGTGTTACTTCCAGACTCTTCCAAAACTGCACTGGTTTCACCACACAACACAAATGAAACTACTACAGAATGTCACAAATTTTCAGATTTGGAAGAATGTTCACAGGAAGCAACTAGAGTCTGCAGGTTTGTGCTGTTATATTATTCTAAATACTTATTTAATTAGGAATCCTACCCATTCTTTAGGTAATGGGTAGGATTCCTAATTATTTTATAAATATTGTTTTGATGACATACTTCATTGTATAGAACAAACTTCTCCATCCCAAATTAATTTTTTTTCTTTCATCCAGTGTAATTATTGATGCAAGTGCAATGAAAATGCAGAATGCTGCATTATTAACATTTTTCTTTATGTTAAATCAGAAACTTTAAAGATGTTTATAGGTTGCTCATCTATTAAAGTGTGTCTGTAAGACAACAATAGACATTATGGTGTCCACCAGAAGTTTTGAACTTCACTCCCAAATAAGAACTGCCAAAAGACTCCAGGATTGCCACACAAAACTTCCGGGGTACAGCAATTGGCCTACCACTTCATTATTAACTAATGTTAATTATTAGGATAATTAAATTCTACTACTAAGTTTACATGTGTTGCATTCAGAATGATAAAAAGCTAAGCATTCACATTCAAAGCTACCATATAATATGCTTATGTTAAAATTTGAGGTGGAGTGTCAAAACAATTCCTGAGTATCTTTTACAAGGTTCCTCCCTTAGTGATAACTGCTTCAAAAATATGGATGACCTCTAGATAGCAATAAAGAGAAACATTAAATTCTTAACTCTGGGATTTTGTAGCACAGATTTAGGAGTCCTAAAGTTGTTTGCTACCTTTTTTGCCTGATAATATATTAATATTAAGGGTTGAGAACATGAGTGATACTTTTAATGGTACGTTACTTCTGTCTGCAGTACTGTATCTTTGTGTAAAAGAAATAAAACACCCAGGCCAGCAAGATACAGACTCACAAAGCCTAAACCAAATCTTAATAGTGGCTTGGTACTACCCAGGAATGCTTCTCAAAAATCTCTGGATCTAAGTTCAGATATGGAAGAATATAAAGAAATCCAAAATGGTAAGTTTTTGGACTTTATATAATAAGAGCTTACTGGGTGTGTCTGCAGGGTTATATACAAGTATTTATGGCTATCAACACAACAGGGTGTTGTGTTTTTGAAATCTATGGGCTATGCATAGTTAAGTCTATTAATTTTTGTAATGTGCAATATTTCAACATTTGTTCCTTTGTTGCTAATAGGTTAATGATGAGGTCTAAGTAGCTTATAAAATTCCAGATCAGTCTATACTTCAGATAACAAGGTCATTTGGCAATTAAGCAAAGTGCATTTTTGTCCATCTCATCTAAATCGTAACAATAGCTTACAAACTTTCCCTGGTTATTTTAATGTCTAAAGTAACAGATGAGAAAATGTCAGAAAAACCTACAGAAGAGCAGAAAGCTGAACTGAATCTCCAAATGGATGAGCAGCTCGCTAAGGTCAGCACTGCTGGAAAGTATGATTTACATTCTGAAAGTGCTGGTCCCGCCATGCAGGAAAATAATATGGAAAGGTATACACCCCACTACAGTTCTATATTTGTTATTTCTCAAGTGTTTTGGGCTATGTTTTGAAATATGTAGTCAATTGTGTTTTACATATTCCTTCCTTCTGTAAAACATGGATGTCTGCATGGTGTAGCTTACCAAAATTACTGGGAATATACAGTTATAAATGTATATTTATATACATTTAGGTTTTCCTAAAAAAAACCAAGAGCAGCTTCAGCCTTAATATTTAATTATTAATGCTCTTAATTTTCTCCAAATAGCTTTTGATGCATGACAGTAATGAAGTATCTTCTTAAAAGATAATTGGAATTGATATTTCCCTTTATAAAGTGCCGTGCTCCTTACTAGCTACATTTGTTAAATTGTATGATGCCATTTTTATTTGTTTGATACAGAATGATTGTAAGCCTCATACCATTCATTTTAAGTTATGTGGTATAAAAAGGTTCTGTAACATTTCTTTGGTAAACAGTGTCTAGACTTAAACTATGTTCATTTTTTGCAAAAGTGGAAACGCGGTAAAAAAGATTTGTGAAATTGCATCTGAGTTAACAGCTCCAAAACGTTTTCAAGAAGCAGTAGCTTGTCTATCTGAACTGCCAGATAATCTCAGCATAAAGAGTAATGGGTCTGCTGAACACCAGTTTTCTACAGCTGAAGTTACACAAGTAAGAAGTGTTATGTAACTGAAATAGCTACTTTTTAAATAACTGCATATAAAGTTTACTAAGTTCACTGTATTCTGGTTAAGTTCATCATAATATAGTCTGGTTAATCCTGTTGCAGTTATGATGTGTATTTGTACAAATTGGACAGCCTTGCTAATATTAAGCTGTGAATTGTACACTTTTACTGCTTTTTCTTGTTATGCTTCTTTTCCAGTAAG